ATCAACTTTTGTCAACTTTTCATTGACCACCCCCCCCCCCTCTGAGCAGACGTCAATTGGGAACGGTGCCTTAATTAAGCCGACTTTTTACTGGACTTGACCTTGTTCTTGCATGAAGGCTTCGCATCTTTGAACGCAGTGTCTATTCGGAGACGGCTCCAACGGAAGTAGACCAATGGAAATGCTTTGTGCCTCGAGACCAAGTAAAAAAATATGTGGGTGTTACACCTGTTTTAACCCATGATGTAATATTTTGCCGTTAAGTATAAAATGTTCCTGAAAATAACTGATTTGCGAATGTTTTAGTGGCTATATGGGTGATCTGCAGCAAATAATACGCAGTTTGACCCCCCAAAGCAGTGCATGTGTGTGCGGGAGTGCGTCTCCGATTAGTTCTTGGGTGCTCGCCGGAGACGTCTCCGAATAGTGTCTGTCTTTGAACAAAAATAACCGGGCGTAGGAACAGAATATCGCTTCGTCAGTGCTACTTATAGACAGCCCTTCGTCGCCGCTTTCGAATAATAATAATAATAATAATAATAATAATATTACATTATGTAGAACTCTCTTTTTAGGAAAATGTGACTTAACCTTGTTGTTGTCGTCAGGTCGTCATTTGTGGTACCGTCGCGTGGAACCTGGAGAAAAGTCACAGAGCCTGATATGTGTAGAAAAATGGGAAGACTTTTATGGAATAATGCCAAGATGTTAGCCCGGGGTATGGGGAAATGGAACGTGTTCGTCGGTGGTGAGAAAGACGATGATGATGATGATGATGATGATGATGATGATGATGATGATGATGATGATGATGATGATGATGATGATGATGATGATGATGGCGATGGCGATGGCGATGGCGATGGCGATGGCGATGGCGATGGTGATGGTGCTGTAATAAAAAAAATGTTATTATTCTAAATTATGTATAAAATAACCTATCTGCTGTTGATGAACAAGTTGCACATTGTGAAGTTGGCACTTATGCGGGGTGCCACGAACCAAAACTTCCATGATCAGATGAAACCACAGATCTATATAAATAACAAAACCTACCATTTTGTCCGATGTATTTACAAATACAAAAGTAGAACAATCATTTCCTATAAACGACATATAAAAATACAAGTAGCTCTGTCTATTTAATTATGAACACGTTTCAAACATAATTGTTGTATTTAGGTGACATTAAAGCGCAATAATAGAGTTTTATGCAATAGGGTTTAAAATACAAGATTGTAAAACAACTTGCTTTTATAAACAAGCTGGGAATAATGACAGGTGCAAACATTCATAAATTTACAAGAAAAAGTAAATAATAGTGTATTCTTTATAAGAGTCTAACCAGGTGACATCGGGCAGCCAAAGGTGCTGAGAGGTCAGAGGGCAACTGTTTCGCGCCCACTGGACCCACAACAGGAATAAGGGACTGAGATCAAAGATGCAGCCTATGGTGTGGTTGACCCTGGTTCGAATCCCAGAAAGGGTGTTTTTATATTTCTATTTCTTAGGGAGTTTTTAAAGCGACTCTTCAACGATTTGGCCTGTTCCTATTATGATCTATCGGAGATGGAAGCTGTTAAATTGAGACGTCCCGCCTTTTGAATAACCTTTGAGTGTTGAAAGTGGCGTTAAATCAATACTTTTGCGTTCCATCTTTCACTGGTCTTTGTATGTATTTAACGCCCCTTTAAAAAAAAAAGTTGTAAGAGGCAGGACTTTCGAATTTAACGTCCACCCAAAAATAATATTAAGTCGGTACTTGGGGTGGGGGGGGGAGCCTTGAAACTCCGCAGAATAAACCAAGATCAGACCGCCCTTTTGGGTATTCGAACCAGAGTCACCCGCTCCGTAGGCCAGCATGATACTGGTACCAACTAAGATAACTTCGGGGTCTTTTTGTCAGTGACATCGGGGCAAACATAAAGATATGTAAAGACCTACCCTTTACAGGTCATGGAACATGGCGTTATGGGCCAGACACGGAACATGGTAATATGGACGAGACTCTGAATATTGAGTCAAGGGCGAGACATAGAGCTTGGTGTCATTGACGAGATATAGAACATGGCATCATGGGCGAAATACTCAGCATAACGTCATGGGCGAGATACGGAACATGGTGTTTTGGACGAGACATAGAACATGACGTCATGGGCGTAGAGACATGGATTACTGCGTCATGAATGAGACTTAAATATTGTGTTGTCATCTTTAAGACATTGTTGAAAATGATGTCTTCGATGAGACATGGAACTGGTCAATAAAATGTGAGGCAGCGTGGTGGAATCAGGCTCTCGTCAAAATAATCAAAGTGAAGAAACTTTTTTGTCAAATTTTTCTTTTTTGGCTCAACACCTTTCATGTCCATTAAAGAACGCATATCTGTGTGGATTTTTCTGAAAAACGTTGATTAAAGGTACAAAAAAAATGTAAATTTTCAGTTAATACGGACTGTTAAGCTGAGGAAATAACTAATCTTTGGCGATCATTTTCTCACTAATTTTACATCTGAAAACAGGTGACCCCCACCTCCTTCATTCGCAAATATCTCGACTTGTATTCAAGAGAAATGGATATTTTTTTTCATCCAATTAGAGACAAGTGAACAAGCTTTAAGATGACATTGATAACTCTAAATGCCCTAAAACTGACGAGAACCTGATTCCACCACGCTGCCTCACAAATAATAATAAATAGGTATGACAAAATAATACCGGAACTGCACGATGGTGTAAAAATGTAACATCAAATAAACATGATGGAAAACGTACTGTCGTCACTAAATGACAACATGATGGCACTTTGGCAATAATATGACAACGCCACATGGGGAAGTTACAAAAATAAATAAATAAATATATGACAACACAAGATCAGTTTTAGCCTCACCACTGTTGTGCAGAACAAAATCATAGTGGGTTGTTATCGGATGATCTGGTGTGGCTTGTTCCTCTTTTCCTATCAGACAAGGGCGAAAAATCTCGGAGGTCCCGTGTGCAAGCTGTACACGTTAAAGATCCCTTGGTGGTCTAAAATCGATAAGAGTAGGCTTCGGCCGCCACCCGGGCAAAATTAAAAATTTCCTACCAACTGAAAAAGTTTAGTGTGTCCCGCACGCTCATATGACCTTATGCAGTTGCGAGCGCTGTAAAACACTTACATACTTTTTCCTATCAAATATCTAGCGTCCTTATCTTTTCTCCTTCTTATTTGTGTGTTTGTTACTCTTTAATAACACCTCTAATCTTTGGTACTTATATCATGACCTAATTGTGTTCAAGTGCCGTAAAACGCTTACTAAAACAAAACAAAAATATTAATGATAGACTGGACGAGTTTTATCTTTAACTAAGATTAAGTAACTCTGGTAACAGTTGAAGAGGGGTTGTTAGATAAGTTGCAAGTAGCGTGGCTTCTGTTCAAAATGTCTCATTTGTTCTTTCTCATGGAATCGTATCTTTCTTTTGATGAAGGAGTTTATCTCAACAAGGTGATGACGTCACTGTTCGGTATGTCCGGATGTGATTACGTCACTGTTTGTTTGTCCAATTGTTTGTCCAACATGATGACGTCACTGTTTGGTGTGTCCATTGTGATGACGTCTCTGTTTGGTGTGTCCTTCTGTGATGACGTCACTCTTTTGTTTGTCTATCCAGGGTGATGACGTCACTTTTTTGTTTGTCTATCCAGGGTGATGATGTCATTCTTTGTTTGTCCAGTGTCCCCAGCCTGGCAGAGAGAGCCAAATGCTGACGTCACCACAGCCCATGTGGTGAGTGCGATGACGTGAGTGTTTGTTCCAGTATGCGAAGAGCAACATGACTTGCGGCGTCATCAGAGCCACTCGAAATGACGTCACGGCACGTTCCGTTTGTCCAGCTTGACAAAGACCGGCATTGTCAGCATTACTTTTATGAGATCCCTTGAGATGATCGTTGTGACGTCACTATTTGTTCATCTTGTCTGACAAACAACAGCGATGTCGTCAGAATCAGGAAAGAGACCCTGGGCAGATGACCGCTGTGACGTCAATGTTTGTTTCCGTGCGTCCAGCTTGACAAATAGCAGCATGGTCAGCATCAGGAGGTGTCCTACGATGACCACTGTGACGTCACTGCCTGTTTTGTTTGTCTGATGACCGCTGTGACGTCAATGTTTATTCCGTTTGTCCAGACTAGCAAAGCGCGGCTTGGTGGGGATCAGGAGATCCCCGATGATGACCGTTATGACGTCACTGTTTATTCCGTTTGTCCAGCTTGACAAAAAGTAGCATGGTCAGCTTCAGGAGATGTCCTATAATGACCGTTATGACGTCAGTTTCTGTTTCGATTTGTCTGGTGCCCAGCCTGACAAAAAGCAGGATGGTCAGTATCAGTAGATGTCCTGCGATGACCACTGTGACGTCAATGTTTGTTCTTCTTGTCCAGCCGGGCACAGAGCGGCATAGTGAGCATGAGGGCAGCCCCGAGGATGTACATGACTCCACAGATGTGAAGGACGACCACAAAGTCGCCAGTCGCGTCCACCACCGCTCCTGGAAGGAAAGAAAGAAAGGAGGAAGGAGGGGGTATAAAAAGGGGTAAATTGTACGTAGTTGTAATCGTTCAAGTTTTTCCACAACCCCAAAATCTACAACCGTAACAGAATGTTAAAATATTTACAGCAAATCTACAACAAATTCATACCACGTTTACAGCAAATCTAGAAGAAATATACCGAGATTAATTAGGGCGCCAAATTACAAATTTACAACAAATATTTACCACACAGCAAACTTACAACAAAGATTTACAACAACAAATTTACAACAAATTTACAGCAAAATTACATCAAATTATCTGTAAATAAATAATACCAAAGAGTGGATTCATTAGTGTGACGAACTACAAATTTACAACAAAGGTTTACCACAACAAATGTAAATTTACGATCAAGATTTACTACAACAAATTAGCAACAAAGATTTACCACAATAAATTTACAACCAAGATTTACCTCAACAAATATACATCAAAGATTTACCACAACAAATTTACAACAAAAAATGTAGAACTAATTCACACCGACAAATGTACAACAGCAAATTTACAAAACAAAGATACAACAACAAATGTACAACAACAAATTCACACCAACAAACATACAACAAATCCACAGGAAAACGTACCGAAGATGGGGTTCGCTATGGCTCCGCACAAAGTCCCTGTTGTTGCGATGATGCTGAAGGCCTGGGGCATCTTCTCCCGCCCCACTATCTCCTGGGCCAGGAGAGGCATCATGCACAGGCGCACGCCGATCAGCATGCCCATGATAATGACCATGAGGAGGAGAGTCTCGAAAGTTGTGAAGAAACGGAGGAATTGGGCCAGGATACCTGGGCGGGGATGGGGTGGATGGGGTG